AAGTCTTTCTTACTTATACTGTACCTATTCTCCATCCTCATCCAGACCTGTGGTCTCCTGGTTATTCCTTTTTCTTCTACCTATAAGCCCCCAGAGGCTTACTTTCTTCTCTCTCTATTCTGAAGCATTGGTTCATCATTTCAACCTGTCTGTACACCTTCATTTTCATGTCCTGCCAGTCTTGAAGCACCCAACCCCAGATCTGTCAGACCACCCACCTTCTCCACTTCTAAACTCAGGCTGCTCAGTCTTGTGGGACAGTTTTACTAACCCAACAGATTGGTCCGTCCTGTCTACTGCATGCAAGAGTTGTTTCTTGAAAAGCAAATCTCTGTTTAGAATCCCCTCAGGGTTCCCCTCTGTCTTTATGTTTCAGAGCAAACTTCTATTGTTATTTTGCACTTATTAATGATCTGTAGCCTTATCAGGGAAATCTGTTTCCCTGGCTTCTGCACCTTCCTCTTTGCCAGAATAACTCCGGTTTAAGGTCACCAGTAAACCCATCTGGCCATAACATGCGTCTCATGGCAATCCCCTTTATGACACTCCTACCCCACTCCATGCACACATACATGTACTTTTCTGGTTTCATTGCCTATTAAGGCCCCTCCTTTAGAGGCATTATCCTTTGCTTTATACTGTATACTTAGCACCTAGCATAGTAGGCATAGTAAATATTTGTTGAGAATGAAGGGAAGTTTGAGCTAGTCTTAAAGAATGAGAACATTCTAGGCAAGAGAAAACATGGTCAAATACAGAAATGAGTATGTCTCTATGGCACATTTAGAGAACAGTGACTAGGTTGCTGTGTGTTAAAAAGATATGCTTTGCGGAGAGCAGCATACAGGGGTCTTTCCATCCATATCTTATCCAATGTTTTCTTGACACTTCTCACCCGCTGCTACTCCAGTCTTCTCTTGCTCTTTACAGCAAAAGTCCTCCAGTCGTGGACTCTCTGGTTCCTCTACTGTTCTTTCTTGAATTTGGTCAACTCATGCTTTAGTTCCACTGCTCAACTGGAATGGCTCTTAGTGACTTCTGTGGTGCTAATCCAATGGACATTTGTCATTTGTCATCTTGCTTGTTTGTCCACATCATTTGACAGGGTGGTTGCTCCATTCTTGCTTATATACTTTCTTCCAGGACACCAAACTATCTTGGTTTTCCTCCTACCTCACTAATTGTAAGTTCCTCAACTCAGCCTCAGACAACAGAGTGGCCCAGGTTCAGCCCTCAAAGTCTTTCAGTCCACACTCATTCCCTCACTGATCTGATCCCATCTTTTATCTTTAAACATCATCCACATGCTAAAACTCCTCACTTTCTATCTCTAATCCAGATCTCCCTCCATGGACTCCAGACTCTTACAGCTAACTTCCTATCAACATCTCCACTTGGAAGTCGAATAGATAACCCAAACTTAACATATCCAAAATTAAACTCTTAATGTTCCCCTAAAAAGCTACTTCTCCTGCAGCACTTCCCATTTCAGTTTATGGCAACTCTAGCTTTCCACTTGCTAAGGCTAGAACCTTGAATTCTTACAGTTCACAATTCACAAGAAATGCCCTTTAAAATGTATCCAGATGTAGCCACTTCATTGTTATCATCATGTTCAGTCATCTAAATTATTATAGTAACATCCTGATTCTTCTCACCTTTGATGTCCTACCATCTGTTCTCAATGCAATAGTCAGAGTGAGTGACCCTTTTAAGATAAATTAGAGTATATCACCATGCAAAACCCTATAGTGGTTCCTTTTTCACTCCAGAATAAAATTAAGTTATAATAGCCTGCAAGACCTATCTGGCCTCCTATACCTATCTGATCTCCTGTCCTACTCCTTTTCCTTTATATCGTAGTTCAGCGAAACCATCCTTCTTACAGTTCTTCAGTCATGCTGCTGCATGACTTGGGGCCTTTGCTCTTGTTTTTCTTTCTGAAATGCTCTTTCCCCCCATAGTTACATGGCTCACTTCCTCACTTCCTTTAAGTCTTTGCTTAAATGACACCATTTTAGTGAGGACTACCCTAACCACTCTATTCAAAATTATAACCTACATTTGTCTATCTTACCCTCCTGGTCCCCCCCCCCCCCCCCCCCCCCCCCCCCCCACCCCCACCCCAGGCCACTTATGAGCTTCTATGTGCCTTCTATTCATTCATCTTATTTGTTTTGTTTACTTTTTACTGACAGTTTTCTCCATGCTGGAAAATAAGCTCCATTAAGACATGGATTTGTCTTTTTCTTCATAAAACAATGCCTGACACAAGTAATTAATAATTACTGAATTGAGCTAGAGTAAAGGTAGGAATTTACATCTGAAAGTCTTTTGGAGATCTTAAGTTTCATTTAAGTAAATTCTGTAGCCATGAAGAAAAGATATGTGAGCCCCAAGTATAAAGAAGATACGTTTGAACCAGGAAAGATTTGTTAATGGTTGTAGGTCTGCATGTACCGTTATCATGCTTCTTGTTGTCATTTGGTATTAAATTATGTTTAGTCCAGTGATTGATACAGGACTGGATTTTAGATTGCCTTCCCACTCTCACAACTAACAAGGCTTTAATCAGGGCATTAAGGAGCTCTAAATAGGCTTTGCTTTTGAATCTGCATATCAGGAGGGGGCTGGGAGCATGAGTGGGAGGATGTCATGTCCCAGTGATTAATGATCTCTAGGAAGCTGAAAAGGGGAGAGTAATATACACAGTATTTCTACCCCCTGGAGTAGGAATGCAAACACCATTGTGCAGATCTGTGCATAGTCACTGACTTCCTGGTAGCTGGAGAATTTCATACACTCTTCTACCACAAATAAAACTGTCAGAGAAGTGACAGAGCTCAAAAAGCTGGCCTTCCTTACTTAAAAAGAATAGCTCAAACACAGTGAGCCAGAAAATTAATTTTGTAGTTGTTTGGAAACCCAGTTGTTTAATAAGAAATGAGAAAATGAGAACTTTTCTTGAAAAGCCTAAAAGCTCCAAATATTTGTTGAATCAAACTCAGCATTTGGTTTCTTAAATTTACTGAATTCCTGGAAACTACTTATTTTAAATGAATTTAAAGGAAAACATTCCTTTGTAATGAAATGCACTGTCTTAAACTTTTCAGTGTGTTCTCTATGGTAGATTTAGAAAATCGTCCTATCAATGGACTCCTGTGCCTGTTGCCCTATGTGTCGAAAAAAAATCCTAACATTTCACAATACTTATATGGTTTTAAGAAAGTAATTCTATGGTAGAGTTCTTTTGTTTGTTTTCATCCCCAGTGAATCTGTGATATTTAATAACAGTTTCCAAATGCTTAAGTCAGAAGGGAAACATTTTTAACTCAAGATAAGGAACTACAGATGTTTGCAAAAATTTTTAAATGAAAGTTTGTGGGAAAAGCATTGTATTTCAACCAATTGTGATCATTTACAAATAATCAAAATGAGGGCCTTTATTTAACAGTAGCAGTAGTAATCACAGAAGCAGTGACAGATTTTTAATGGGGACTTCCAAGTAACTTGTATTTTACCAAGAACCATTCATTGGTAGGACTTGTTATTTTTGTTCTTGGTTCAGATTTTTTTGATACCGTTTACATCACTACTCATTGTTCTACATTGTCTAATTTTTAAACTTTGATTTTTTAAATATTTTTTCTGTAATATAAAAAAAAAAAGGAAGGAAATACTCATTCTTGGGGAAATAAGAGCCACACTTCAGAGTAAGGAAAGAAAAAATTTTATATTTTATTTCTGTTTTGTTGGTGTTTACTTTGTTTATTTTTGAGGGTGTCACTATAATCTAAATTAAAATGAACTACTGTGGTCTAAATTAAGGCAGCATCAGATAGAATCAGCCCTGAGTTTGGTTTCCAAGTGGTTAGACTTTTCAATTGCATTTGCAAGAGTTTATTTTTAGTCAGGATGTGGTTATTTTTAGATCTGCTTCTCTGTCACTAGGAAATGTAATGCCTGTCTTTCCATTGTTGTTTATCAGGAAGTTCTAAGGCACAGGCTTATAATATCCAGTTAGCAGAGAACACTGCCTCTCCTTTTAGATGAAAGAATATGAAATAATCCTTGAAGGAAAATCTGTTAATTGAGAACATGTCTAATTTTTTAAATTATTAGTGTCACTTTAGTCTCTTACACGCTGAGCAACAGAACAAGATTTTTAGGGAACATCAAAAACACAAGGTTTGGGTTCCCCCTACTGGTATGCATCCCAGGTGCATGTGTTCCTTAGTGAAAAGGCCTAGGGGATTAGAGATTTGAAATGGCTATGTGGACCTCTTTTAAAGAGATCTGGTGATGAGAAAAGGAGAAAAAAAACACCGTTACCTATTTTCTGATAATGTCTTTTAAAAAAATTAGATGATATATATGCTAAGTTGGATGTAAATTAAAAAAAAATAAAATAAACTGAAAAAAATTACAAATAAAAAATAAATAAATAATGAAAACCTCTAAAACTATTTTAAAAATTAGATGATCCAAAAATTGTATTTTTTACATCTAGAAAGAACAAAACTTAATCCCATAATATTTGGTTTTTTAATGTTGTTGCCTCTGTGATAAGCTGCTTATATACAGCTTCTCAAATGCTTTATGTTGTAATCTAAGGAATAATAAAACACCAGTGGCTCCACAAAAGGATTTAAAACCCCAAGGAAAAAAAAAAGCTAGCATTGTGTCATAATAAAATTAAAGAGATGGTGTTAAAGCTCACTAATTCCTATTTTAGCATTTCAGAAAGTGACAGGACATCATGTGATTGTGTGTGTCCATTTAACATCTGTTCTTTCTAATTTCTCATATGTGTATTTAAAACTGTTCTCTTTATTTTCTGTCTCTTAGTCAGTAAATGCCAAGTAATATTAAAGGCTTGTTTTGAAATAGAAAAATTTTAATTGACTCCTAAAAGTCATTTCTGAACTTCTTATTAATGTTTGCATCTTAAAGGACTATTCAATGAAATTAAAATATTGTATTTTTAAATTGCTTTTCAGCAATGCAGTCAACCTTTTAAGCAATGTTCCGGTCTCTTGTTTGGATGTTCTCATTTGTCCATTAACCCATGAAGAAACAGCCCAAGAGGCAACGACTCTAGATGAACTGCCCAATGATAAAACAGCTGAGAAAGAAACTGTTTTGAAAAACAATACCATGGTATACAATGGTATGAATATGGAAGCCATTCATGTTTTACTCAATTTTATGGAGAAGAGAATAGACAAGGTAAGGCTGATAAAATGGAGGCCTTGGGAAGATGTTTCTAAAGAATGTAAATGTGCCATATATACAGACATCACAGGACATGATTTTTAAATTTAATCTTTTTTTTTTATAGCTGACATACTGCATAATTATGCCCTGGAAATCATTTTATTACAATATACGATTAATTGCTAAAACAAGTCAATTTACTTGTTTAAAGACAAAAAATTTGTTAATGCAACACCAAAACTGTGACTAGTGCCTGCAAGTGAAGGAAAAATTAATGACTTTTCCATGTAGGTATTTTTTAAGACCTAGAAGTAAAAATTATCTGCCCACAAAACCTGAAGATAAATACTTTCCATAATACCTAAAAGCTATCTTTAAAAAAAATCGAGTTTTCATTAGTTGTGAGCTGCTTATTTTCTCTTGTCTGTCATATGCTTTGTCTGGTAGCTATACTAAAAGGCAGCAGGGTAGTATGGGTAGGTTGTCAAAACCTTTGCCTTATTTAAGCCCATTGGTTGAGCCAGTGAGGACCCCACAAAATGTAGGAAAATCCAGGGAGGATAAAAATGGGCATTAATAAAAATGAAGATAACTGGTAGAATGAAGACATGGTTAGGAAAATAATTTCTTAAATAGTTTGTAAAGCTTTGGTAACATAAAATGTCTCCCCCACCAAAAAAGGAGTATTAATATACTCAGTTATATAGAGGAAAGTAATACTGTTAGAAACTAATGTAGTATGTCTGGTTTTCTTTATAGGGAAGCAGCTATAGAGAAGGTCTAACTCCGGTTCTCAGCTTATTAACAGAATGTTCCCGAGCCCATCGAAACATCAGAAAATTTCTCAAAGATCAGGTAACTGCTTAATGCATATTACATCTCATGGTTAATCTTCTTATATGCAGTTTCTAAAAATAGAATTAATGAGTTGCATTCTTTCATAATGGTTTACTTTCATAAAATCAGAAACTCAGAAAAGTTAGTTTTAATCTTTGAAATCTTCCTAATCCGGGAAAAAAGTGATCGTGTGTATTTTTCTGAGTCATTGATTCATTTATTCAACTAATAGTGGAGATCTACTTTGTGCTGTGTTCTAAGCATTGTTCTAACCACTGAAAGACAGATGAAGTCTTTGCCTTGTGGAGTTTACCTTATAGTCGGAGAACAAAAAGTAAATGAATATGTTATAATGGCAAGTTGTGATGTGTTCTGAAGAAAGCAGGGGAAGGGGAGATTTAGGAGAATCAGCAGGGCCTCTCTGAGAAAATAACATTTGAGCGGAAACTTGGATAAGTAAGAAAAGCATCTCTGAGAATATCTGGAAGAGGACTATAGAGAGAACATGTTCAGAGTTCCTCAGGTGAGAGGATGCCTTGGTGTGCTTATGGAAGAGCAAGGAGGTTAGACCAAGTTGACAAGGAGAGTGGTAGATGAAGTAAAAAAAGGTAAGCAAGAACCAAATAGCCTGAGGTTGTATAGGACTTTTGGTTCTCTTTTAAGTGAGATGGGCAAGCATTGGACCATTTTGAGAAGGGGAGTTGAATGAAGGGTACTTGTTTATATTTTGAAATACTCTGGCTACTATATGTAGGATAGACTAGGGGAATGTGAGTAGATGCAAGGAGGCCAGCTGGAAAGAGAGCTGATGGTGAATGTTTGGAGTAGGGTGATAGTAGAGTTGATGATAAGGATTCTTTCTACCACTGTGTTTTCTGTTCATCTGCTTGTGTCATATAACCTTTGTCTCCCCTTCTATCATGAGTGAATTGTCCCTGCTTTCTTCTGTGGCCAGCCTCTTCGCTTGTGTCCTAGATCCCTTTCCTTCTCACCTTCTCAAGAACTTTGCTTTTGCATTTATTTCCTCTCTTCTTATGTTAATCCTTTTTTTTTTTTTTTTTTTTTTTTTTTTTTTTTTTTTTAATGTACTGGGTCATTTCTGTCTTCATCCAAACACATCTTTCAATCTAAAAATAAAAAAACCTTCTCTTAATTCCATTTCTCAAGCTGCCTCCCCATTACTCTGTTCTTCTTAATGCAGTTTTCCTCAAAACACTTTTCTGTACTCACCTTCTCTATTCTTTTTACTCTTTAATTCTCTCCTGCACCCGCTGTAATTAGGCTTTCCACCCCACTGCAGAGGCACTCATCAAAAATCATCAACCCAGTAATGCCCAATCTAATAGTTCTCAAACCTTTTTTCTTTAATTCCCCAGTGCATTTTAATGTAATGCGGTATTCTCTCCTTCTTGAAATGCTTTCTTCACTTGGTTTCTAGGACACAATAGGGAACCTTTTTGCAATGTTTGAGTGCCCCGAGGCAATATTTCCTTGGTCTCCATTTCCACTCCCTTGGTGATCTCATTCAGCAGTCATGGTTTTGAAAATCATCTGTATGCTGATGACTCCCAAATTTATGTCTCTGGCCCTGACTTGTCCCCTCTGCTCCAGACTGATATAACAGGCTGCCTACTCATCTCCTCCCCTTAGATGTATAGTAGGTATCTTAAGTTTTAACATATACCCGACTAAGCTCTTGATTCCCATCCCTTCACCCTGTTTCTTTCCTTCTTTCCACATTTCGGTGCATGGTACAACCATTCACTCCACTGCTCATTTTTTGCCATACAGAATTTCCCTTGTTAAATGAACCAGCTTCATTTCCCCCCCCTTTATGTTTATGATCAAGATTTAGTAAGCACCTTACCATACGTGAAGTACATTAATAGATACTGCTGCTAAGGAGAAATTAGAAAGTAGAGACTCTATCTTTGAGGAATTTACAGTCTATTGGAAGAAGAGAGTAGTACCCTGAAAGCATGAATAATCATTTAAGCCAAGTAAACTAGTTGATTAATGAATTGAAGTCATTTTCCAAGTTGATTATTTTAAGACATTCTACTGTGACTAGGAAGAGTTGGTGAATAATAAATGAAAAATATTTTAAGTTTTCTGTATTTTAGCTTTTTCACATAGGAGATCCAGGTTCAACTGAACTGTTTAGAGTTTAGATCTCTGGCCAGAAGAGCCAAAAAAAAAAACCTGTTTGTTAAACAACTTCTCTATGTGAAGCTCTTGAGCCACATATTATGTAGAAACAAAGATTATGAGACCCTCTTTTTGTCCTTAAAGAGGCACTACAGTATAAAGAGATGAGACATGACAAGTAAAGATAACTAAAGATACAAGACACACACAAAAATCCACTTTCTTCCTGAGAAAGATGCACTCTCAACTATGATGATTAAGAAAGGCAGAACATAAAGTAACAGGTGGTTAGTTTTGGTAATAGTGTAAATGGAATGACGGCTAGTTAATTATTACACCCTATTTCATTATTACCTGAATGAACCCAACACATGCCTACCCAAAGGAAATTGGTCTTAAGTATTGAGGCAGGTAGAAAGAGAACAGATGGTAGAAAGTACCAACCCAGGTTGGGTTAGTCTGTGGAGAGGTTTACAGAAGAGATGAGGAATCTGTGGATTTGAGAGAAGAGATGGACAAGATTTGTCAAAATAAAAAATTTGTTGGAGGGTAGTATTTGGGAGGAAATAGAATGAGTCTATACAAATGCAGTTTGGAAGTGGTATGTAACAATGAAAGCAACAAACTTATGTTTAAAAAATTTTATTTTAAGAAACCCAAAACATTGGTAACAAAATTTTGGGGTGATAACCTTTGTTAATAGATTCTTTACTCTGGAACAGTAGGCGCATACTACATGAAATCACTTGTTAGATGTCTCATTCTTCTCTACATTCAGTGTATAGAGACCATATAGAACTCAATATGGTTAGCTGAATCAAATAAGGATTTATTGTGCAGTGACTTTGTGCCTATAGAGCACAGAAATCATGGTGCTCTACCCTATCAGAAATACTGAATATGGGTTCTGTAAACACTTTGGTAGCTTATTCAATTTTCTGGGATTTAGTTTCTGTTTGTGTTCACAGCTGTATCTCCAGTGTCTCCAATACTTCCTGATTCAGGATAGGCATTCAGTGTAGAAGGAGAGAAAAGAAGAAAGTCAGTTGAATGGATTAAATAAAATAATATACACATGAAGGGTCCAGCACAGTAAATTATTATTTGACTCTGTTTTTATTGTCATTTACTACCTTAGTGCCTAGCTTATGGAAGGCACTTTTAAAAAGGTATTTGAGGAGTGTCTGGCTCAGTCAGTAGAACATGCAACTCTTTTGTAAATTCGAGCCCCATGTTGGGTGTAGAGATTATTTAAAAATAAAATCTTTAAAAAGAAGATGTTTGAATTCATTCATTCTTCCTTCAATCAGCAAATACTTATGGAACATTGTAATATGCCATGCACTGAGAGCAGTAAACAAAACAGAAAGAAGTCCCTGCCCCCATGGCAGTGACTCTTGTGGAAGAAGGCCAACAGTAAAGAAAAATATACACTGTATCAGGTGGTGATGAGTGCTGTGAGGAAGATTAAAGTGGCGGGAGGGGGTGGGGGTGCACAGAAAAGAATGCTCAAAGTTAGTCATATAGGGTGGTCAGGAAATGCCTTCCTGTAAGCAACATTTTCACATAGACCTAAAGTGAAGGGAATGAGCCACACAATTTTCTAGAGAAAGTGTTTCTGGGCAGAGGGAGCAGCAAATGCAAAGACCATGGTGTGTTTTAAGAAGTTCCATGGAGGCCTGTGCAGCTGTAGCAGCATAGGTCAGAAGTGTAGTCAAATTGGAGTTAGAAAAATAGCAAGAAGCTGGATTATGTGAAACCTAAGGGAGTTGTAAGGACATTGCTTTCACTAGGAGTAAGATGAGAAGCCCTGGAAGCTGGAGGACTGAGACCAGGAATGACATGATCTGACTTTCAAAGGATCCCTAGCTGCTTTGTAGAGAATAAATCATAGAAGGGCGAGGTTTGAAGCAGAGACCACTAGGAGGTTGTGGTAATAACCAGTTCAGGCGAGACATATCAGTAACTTGGATTTGGTAATACTAGAGGGAGTAGTGAGAATTGGTTGAATTATGGATATATTTCAGAGGTAGAAACAATATAATTTGCTGGTGGATTAGATGAGAAGAGGCTGTTTCTAAGGTGTTTGTACTAAACAGTTGGAAGAATAGATTTACCATTTAATGAGATGGAAAACTAAGAAGGCACAGCTTTGGTGGGAGCATCAAGACTTCTGTTTAGGACATGCTAAATTTGAGAAAGCTTTAAAAGTCTGGAAGTCAGTAAAGAAATTAAGATAGAAATATAATTCAGGGAGTTATCACTATATAGAGACTGTATAAAGCCATACAAACTGGTTGAGATCACCAATAGATTAAGTGAAGAATGTCACCCAAGAGCACAACCCTTGAATTTTCCAATACTTAGAAAACAAGAGGAGAAAAGAGAATTGGCAGAAGAGGCTGAGATGAAGCAGCCAGTGAGATAGGAGAACCTGAAGAGGGAGGGGGCTGGGTGGATGGATGGGTGAAGTGAGTGAGCAAGCAAACAAACCAAGCAAGCCATCTGCAGGTCAATTGATAAAATAGGGTGATGGTGATGTTACTGCCTCCTTTGCAAGGTTACTGTAGAGATCAAGTATAGAGAATATATATGTATATCCTCTCTTATAGGAACTAGCACCTTTAAAGTATTCAATAATTAGTAGCCATTTTTATTATAAAACAACAAGAAAACATAAGTACAGATTTTTTTAGTAAATACTGAAAATGCTGCAGGAATTACAAAAAGGGAAAAATCAATAGGAATGAGAGTATTAAGAAAGGCCCCATCGACGATAGAGAAGATAGATTGACCCTTGCTTTAAAATGGATTTTGATGGAAGCAGGCAAAGGCATTCCAGACGCTAAAATAAATAAAAACCCAGCAATGAATTTGAGTATATCATGGTGGTACAGTGAAGAGGTGTTTCTCTTCAAATGAAATTTAATTACAAACTTGAAATCATTTGAGGTGGGATTTTTGTTGTTGTTGTTGTTTAGTTTTATTTGAAAGCAAACCTATTTATTTTTAAAAAGCTTTTTCCACTCATAGAAAATTGAGCTCATAGACATTATAAGACTGACCAGTTGCATGGTGCCATCCTCACTTACTCTAGTACCCACAACTGATGATGGTTTTGCATTTCTGCCATTAGGTTTTACCACCATTGAGGGATGTGACAAATCGTCCTGAAGTTGGCTCAACTGTGAGAAATAAGCTGGTGCGCCTCATGACACATGTTGACCTTGGAGTCAAGCAGATTGCTGCTGAATTCCTTTTTGTCCTTTGCAAAGAGAGAGGTAGGTTAAACTCTCTTTGCTCTCTACATTTTTATTTTTCCGAGGGAACTTAAGAAATCTTTCTGTTAGTAGTGGCCGTCTCATTCCACTCTTTTCAGAGCTTACTCCTATCTGTTCTATTAGAGGGCCTGAGGAGATATTAAAAATTAATAATTTAAAAAATTTTCTGTATGCTTCTGAAGTCATTAAGATATACAAACACACTCACATTAAACTTTGCCTTCTGTATTCTTAACCCAGACTTCTTAATCTTGAGTGAGGACCTGGAGCCATTATGGAAAATCTGCTTAAGTAATTCAGGTGCTACTATTCTGGGTTTTTTTTTTTTTAGATTTTATTTTTTTAAGTAATCTCCTCACCCAACATGGGGCTTGAACTCACAACCCTGAGAGACCAAGAGTTGCATGCTCTACCAACTGAGCCAGGGTGCTACTGTTTGGATAACCAGGCAAAGCCCTGGGTTAGTTCCCTTTTGTAATTCCTCTTGGAATTAAAACTGTTGGAGTCTTGGTTTCTTCCCTAGGTTATTTAATAAATAATTATTCAATGGGAGATACATATACTATGGAAATATAAAATGGAAGATGGAAAGTACAAAAATGCCTAAGATATACCCCTTACCCTTGAGATAAGGATAAGATAGAGGTAGAGAGAAATTTTAATTTTTTTAATTTTAATTTTTTTATTTTTTAAGCGAGTGAGCAGGAGGAAGGGGGAGAGAAATGGAGAGAATCCCAAGCAGGCTCCAAGCTTAGCACATAGCCCAACGCAGGGCTTGATCCCACGACACAGGGATCATGACCTGAGCCGAAATCAAGAGTCACTCAACAGACTGAGCCAGCCAGGTGCCCCAGTAGAGAAAAACTTGAAAGTAACTATACTACAATGTAATAAACACCATTTTATAAGCATATATAAAGTGATTGTCTTCTGAGATACATGTAACAATTTTAAATATTTCCTAAAATTATATGGGTTATTTGCCCTGCAAAATCAAGTTCTTCAAACAAGGAACTTTAAGTTATCCAGATATTTTTACCTATTTCTTTCTTCAGCTCCTAGTTTTATATGTATATTGGGGCACCTGGCTGGCTCAGTAGGTATAGCATGAGACTCTTGTTCTTAGGATCATGAGTTCAAGCCCCACATTGGGTGTGGAGCCTACTTAAAATAAGAATTTCAAAAAAAATTTTTTTAATTAAAATTTAAAAATGTAGTAGTATAAAAATTCTATCTAAGCAGATTTTATATTCCACTTTTTTAAAGTACCTCAGTTTTGTGAAACATAATTTGGAGGTAGAAAACTTCACTCACTTCTCCCAAAATATTAAGTTCAATTCTCTTTTGTTTTTTTACCCAGCTATATTAAGGTATAATTGACAAGTGAAATTGTATATATTTAAAGTATATTATACACCATGATTTGGGGTGTGTGTGTGTGTGTGTGTGTGTGTGTATTGTGATGTGATTAACACAATTAATTACTTATGTATGTCTGCTGCCTGCATGGTTCCTTTGTGTGTGTGTGGTGAGAATGTTTAAGACTTATTCTTTTAGCAAATTTCAAGTGTACAACACAATACTATTAACTATAGTTAATTTCATTTCTCCTGTCCCTAACCACCATTCTTTCCTTCTAAGAGTTTTATTTTTTTTTCTTTTTTTAAGATTCTACATGTAAGTGAAATCATATGGTATTTGTCTTTCTCTGGCTTATTCACTTAGCATAATGTTCTCTAGGTTCATCCTTGTTGTCACAAATAGCAGGATTTTATTCTTTGTCATGGCTGAAATATATATATTTACATATTTACATATGTGTGTGCGTGTGTGTACCACCTCTCCCTTATCCATTCATCTGTCATTGGACATTTGGCTTGTTTTTGTATCTTGGCTATTGTGAATAATGCTGCAGTGAACATGGGAGTGTAGACAGCTCTTGGGGATAGTAATTTTGTTTGTTTCTGATATATACCGAAGAGTTGGACTGCTGGATCATAAAAACTGCTGTTTTTAATTTTTTGAGTAAACTCCATACTGTTTTCCTTAGTAGCTGCACCAATTTATATTCCCACCAATGGTGTGCAAGGGTTCCCTTTTTGCCACATCCTTGCCAACATTTATCATCTCTTTTTTTTCATCTCTTATTCTTTTGATAAAAGTCATCCTAATAGGTGTGCAGTGATCTCTCGTGGTTTTGATTTGCATTTTCCTAATGATTAGTTAAGTTGAGCATCTTTTCACAAAAAGACCTGTTGGCCATTCATATGACATTTTTCAGGTGTTTTGCCCATTTTTGTTTAAGCAGGTTTTATTTTTAAGTTTATTTTTATTATGAAAGAGATAGAGACGGGATGCAAGTGGGAGAAGGACAGAGCAAGGGAGAGAGAGAATGCCAAGCAGGCTCCATGCTGTTGGCACAGAGCCCAATACAGGGCTTGATCCCACAGACCATGAGATCATGACCTGAGCCAAAACCAAGAATCAGATGCTTAACTGACTGAGCCACCAAGGACCCTTTGCCCATTTTTTAAATAAAATTATTTAGAGATTTTGCTACTGAGTTTACCCACTGAATTCTTAAACTTTATTTCTAACTGATTCAGCCACTTCAGTTCCTGTTAAGATGGCATATTAGCAACATAATTTTATCAATATAACAATAATAATAAACAGCTATTATATATTGGGGTATCATGTTCCAAACATCCTAGGCCATAATCTCATTTAATTCTCATAAGGACCCTATAATTTAAATATTATTATTCCAGTATCATAAATGAATTAACCTGAAACTTGAGAGTGTTTCAGTAATTTACTCAAGGTTGTACAGTTGCTAAGGGCTAAAGCCCAAATTTGAGTCCTCTCTTTCCATTCTGCCACATTTCTTTACTTAGAGTAATTATCTTCAGCTGTTATTACAAATGCTCTTTTAAATAATTCAGTTCTTTCATGACTTTGAGAAAAGATTGATACAGCATTTTAGGATTAAGTGACTCGTATAGTGCCTTGCACATGTAAGCTGAATTGAATCAATTTTTCCAAGATAAGAAATGAGCTGTTTTTGTAAAGTATAATTATGTATGTATACATAAATCTAAATCATACCTCTGTATCTATCCATCAAAAGAGGTTTATCAAAATACATACTAACATCTTATCCATTGTTACCTTTGAGTAGTAGGATGGCTGGTGACTTTTTTTAGTTCTGTGTATTTTGTAATTTTTCTACAGTGAGCATGCATTTCTTGTATTTTTTAAAAAAATTTAGGGTGCCTGGGTGGCTCAGTCAGTTAGGCCTCCGATTTCAGCTCAGGTCATGATCTCGCCGTCCATGAGTTCGGGCCCCACGTCAGGCTCTGTGCTGACAGCTTGGAGGCTGGAGCCTATTTCAGATTTTGTGTCTCCCTCTCTCTCTGCCCCTCCCCAGCTCATGCTCTGTTTCTCTCTCTCTCTCTCTCTCTCACTCTCTGAAAAATGAATAAACCTTAAAAAAATTTTTTTTAATTTTAAAGAGGAAAACTAAAGCTTATTTCTTCTATAATTACAGATCTTCATAAATTATATTACATATCTAAATATAATCACCTTACTAAGAGTTAGTGTCATAGCAAATATGGCATATGCATTTATATATGAATTTGTTCAGTGTTTTTCATTTGAAAGTATTAGCTTTGTTCCCTCTTGAACCCTACATTTGAGGTTTTATAGTCCTAACTTTGAGCCCAAAGCCAACCCATATTAGCAAAAGTATATCAGTTTCACTTGACCTTTAGCAATTCTGTGTATGCTCATCTGCTTTTCCTTCCAATCTGATTTTAAGTTTAGTAGATACATTCTTTTGGAATAAAACTTTGTCCATTTAACCATTTACTCATAATTTTTGAGCTATAGCCAGGGAATGCAGAAGTATAAAGATAAACAAGGTTTCTGTTCTCATATCACTTACTTTCTTATCAAGGGTTACAAACTCACATGCCTTCAAGTGCCAGGCTGGTAATAAAAATGGACTGGACATAAGAAGGTGAATGAAAACTGAAACTTAACTCATTGGTGGGAAGATGGTGGGTTGGGAGTAGGGGAACAAGAAGATTGTGCGAGATTGGAGAGAAGATATTGCTGCTACTTAGCTCCAACTGGTTGTTATCATGAAGGAACATATGGCAATGTTACCCAGTATTCTAGATTTTTCAGGAGAAGCCAGGATTCTGGATTTTTACATACAATCTCCCAGTTTTTAAATGCTATCAACTAATTATAATTTAAAACCATCTAGGGGCTCCTGGGTGGCTCAGTCGGTTAAGTGTCTGACTTCGGCTCAGGTCATGACCTCACAGTTCATGAGTTTGAGCCCCACATCAGGCTCTATGCTGACAGCTCAGAACCTGGACCCTGCTTTGGATTCTGTGTCTCCCTCTCTTTCTGCCCTTCCCCCACTCATGCTCTGTCTCTATCTCAAAAATAATTACTATAAATGTTAAAAAAAAAATTTTTTTTAAACTATCTAGCCAAAAGAAAAAGTTTGTAGTCCACATCCAACTTGTAAGTCATCAGATTTTGGAGTTTGGATTGGGTTTGGATGCAAACTATACTAAAATGAGATAAATTTCAGATAATTCATCAATGTTGAACTTTCCTCTTAAGGACATTCAGCTAAGTTTGAAGTGAAGGTATCATGATGAAGTCTTAAAAGTCAGACCACTAAGTGGAAACAGCAGGCAGCAAATTGGGTTAGGAACACAGAAACTAAATTAAGAAGGAAGATTGGGGGGCGCCTGGGTGGCGCAGTCGGTTAAGCGTCCGACTTCAGCCAGGTCACGATCTCGCGGTCCGTGAGTTCGAGCCCCGCTTAGGCTCTGGGCTGATGGCTCAGAGCCTGGAGCCTGTTTCCGATTCTGTGTCTCCCTCTCTCTCTGCCCCTCCCCTGTTCATGCTCTGTCTCTCTCTGTCCCAAAAATAAATAAACGTTGAAAAAAAAAAAAAAGAAGGAAGATTGAAAT